TACACCGGTCTCTTGTGCAACATCAGTTGCGCAAGAGGGCTTATTCCTGAGCGGGAGCACCATAGTTCTTGCACAAGAAGCCCTGATTTCACACATTAGAACATCAGTGTTCTTGCGCAAGAACTCCCCACCAGTGTAGACAGGCAGCATGTTTTTGTGCAAAAGCAGGTGCTTTTGCACAAAATCATGCCAATGTAGACACAGCCCTACAGTAAAGGAATTAGCAAATAAAGCCAGTCACAATAGAATAAGAAATGATTTTGTATAAGCCATGAGTTAAATAGATAACCCTGGACAACTGGTTTTTGACAACTCCGCCCAGGTGGAGAGGGGATAAGGGACACCTAGAAGGTAAGGTGGTGGGGTAGGCTCTGGCGTAGCCTGGGGACTAGGGTGTTCACCTGAGGTGGGGGGGTGACAGGACAGGCAACACCCAGGCGGACCTGGAGGGCAGCAGGATTTAAATCAGTTTAATCTTTACCTCTATCAATTTAGCTTAAATCAGTAACTTATCAAACCTAAATCAACTTAAGCAAGAAATAAATCAACTTAAATGGGCAATACTAAAAGCATTTGCACCAGATTAACCACAAAACATTAAAAATCTATTGAGTTAAACTGGTGCATTTTTCTACAAGAGAGATGGGCTTAGGCTAAGACTACATTGCCACTTTGCTGTACTGCAGCTTTCTAGCAAGGGGTGAGAAAAAGCAGCCCTGCACCCCAAGCGCAGCAGGTTACAGCACTGTAAAGTACCAGTGTAAATGAGCTCCCAGTGCTTGTTAGCCGGGCATCTACCACTGTTAGCCTCTGCTCCTGGAGGTAGTTTACATAGAGTGCTGAGAAAGCTCTCTTCTCCCAGAGCTCCTGCTGTGGCCAAACTTTCACTTTAAAGCACAGCTCAGCACTTTAATTTTAAAAGTGTAGACAAAGCCTCAAGTATGTTGCAGTTAAGAGTTCTGAGGCTAGAGTGAGTAGACCCTCGTACAAAATGGGGGGGAGCAGTGGGGGGGAAGTGCTACAGCAGCAGTTCTCAAACTCTGGGCTGAGACCCCAATTGGGTTGTCACTATTTTGATGGGTCACCAGGGCTGCCTTAGACTTGCTGAGGCCCAGAGCTGAAGCCAAAGCCGAAGCCTGAGCCCCACTACCTGGAGCCGAAGCCTAAAGGTTTCAGCCCTGAGTACTGGGACTCGGGTTACAGGGCCTCTCTCCCCCCACAATGCCTGGGGCTAAAGCCCTTGGGCTTCAGTTTTGTTCTTCAATCCCCTCTCTTCTCCCCAGCAGGGTAGTTGGCTCAGTAATAATTAAAATCAGAAAGGGGCTGTAGTGCAATGAAGATTGAGAACTCCTGTAATAAAGCATGAGAACCAGAAACAAACTGACCAGCATTATAGTTTCATTGTCCAAGTTAAGCAAATTGAAAAAAAAAGTGAACAAACAGCAAAAATGGTGAAAAATAGGCACTCACATACCATGACAATTAACAAAGTACTACAAAAAACACACAAATCACATTTTGCAACATTTCCATTTTAGTAATTTCAAGTGCTATTAGTAACAGATATAAGGGTTTTTTAATTGTATGTTAACGATGATGATAATAATAATGATAATATGGAGATATACCATCTCAACTGGAAGGGACCTTGAGAGGTCATTGAGTCCAGTCCCCTGCCCTCACAGCAGGGCCAAGTACCATCCCTGACAGATTTGCACCAGATCCCTAATATGGCCCCCCTCAAGGATTGAATTCACAACCCTGGGTTTAACAGGCCAATGCTCAAACCACTGAACTATCCCTCCCCCCGATAGTCCTTTAAATACAATAGTCCTTTAAAAATGCAATCACCATGACAACCCAAATTAAACTAGTGACGGCAAGAAAACAGTTAAAAACAAAAATACATACACTCTTCCCCATTGTGTCAAAGTATCCAAAAGTTAAATCTTAACGATCCTGTATTTTGAAAAACAAAGGAAATAGAAGCCCAGACTCAGCAAAAGGCTTAAATACATGCTTAAGTCCCACAAAAGACAATAACAATTAAGTACGTTTACATACAGAATCAGGATCTCCAATCACTTTTTCAGGAGTGTTTCCTCAAACATTTTTAATGGTGACAAATTTTAAAAACTGTTTCAGACTCTCCTACTACAAACCTAAAACTGCTATATTGTTTTTTTAATTAGAACAATCCCATACACTATAAACCAGATTGGAGGTGTGCAAGGGTGATGCAGGGGAGGTATCTCTGGTGACTCAGTGACCACTGGTGCCAGCTGGCAGAGGACACAGAGAAGCAGAGTGTTTGAGGGATCATATGGGTCAGATATATGTATAATTCACCAAAGGGTGGTATGCGAGGTCTTTAATGAGCAAAGAACCCACTGGTCAACAATCGTTGTGAAATGTATGCCTGGATGATATTTAAGGAATTATGTATCTATACTAAAAGTATGTTTTGAAGGTCTAGAACAGTGTTTCTCAACTAGGGGTACTCGAGAGAACTCTGGGGGGTACGTCAACACAACTGAAAATTGGAGAAAGCTGAATTTTTGTTGTAAGTTTTACAGTGCTTGATTATTTTTGTAGGATGAAGGCATGTCTATGCCTGCTGGAAGCCAGCACCAAACTCCGAGGATTTCCCTGGAGATTCCAATCTTGGCTCCTCTGGACACACACACTATTCACAGATCTGCTACTTCCAAAGAAATGGTACACCCCAGCTTACCATTTCCACCACAGATCAAGAAACGTATGCAGGAGTTCTCAAACTTCACTGCACTGCGATCCCTGTCTGACAATAAAAATTATGACATGACCCCAGGAGTGGGAATCAAAGCCTGGGCCCAAGGGCTTTGACCATGGACAGAGGTCCTGTAACCTGAGCCCTGCTGCCCAGGGCTGAAGCGCTTGTGGTTTGGTTCTGGGCAGTAAGGCTTGGGTTTTGGGTTTGGTCTATCAGCAAGTCTAACACCAGCCCTGGAAACCCCATTTTGAGAGCTACTGGTATAAAGTAAAATCATAAAATGCATTCTAGAGCCTAGATTTAATTAACTAGATAATCCTGTATTTAAAAAAAATATTGCTCACCAGCACTTTTTGTGAGATGCAGTATGCTGCCAACTTGCCTTCACCATCTAGGATCCCGAGTTTTATTTTTATCTTTGTTAATCAGGCTAATCCTTTGATCTTTGTCATAAACAAGATATTCTCTGCTGGTCCCTCTTGCCCCTGTTGATTTTTCTCTTATAGATTTTGCAATCTTTTGACTTGTGTCTCAGTGTGAAAATAAGTGTAATGCCGATGCACCCTGTTCATTGGCAGGCAAGATTGAACTAGGGATGTAAGTGACTAATCCACTAGTTGACTTAGAGGCAGCAAGCAGGGAGAAGGGACAGGTGCTGGGGAGAGCCGGCTTAAAAGCCGGTTCCCCCCAGCTCCAGCTCCATGGGAGGTGGCAGGGGTGCAGCAGCAGCCAACTTTGAAATGTACAGGAGCCTCCACTGGGGACTATTAATTGAACCTCTTTAGTCCAGCACCCTCGGGACCTGACTGGTGCCAAACCAGAGAATTTGCGGAACCACTAGAGGTTTAGCTGTACTATCTGATTGTGTGTTGGTTACAAAATTCTTCTCTGCTCCTGTTGCATACTTTATTTCCAATGACATGCTAGATACTCTTGGCAGTGCAAAACTCCTGAGCATTATGGATTTAACAAAACAGTATGAAATATGCCCTTAGACGGAGAAAAAATGCCTTCATGACAAATTCTGAACTCTAAAGTTCTAAGTGTTGCCTGTGGGTTAATTAGTGCAGGATCCAAATTTCAGAGATTTGTTAACCTGTTCTAGGATTTTACTTCATTACTTCTGGACAGATCATAAAAACCATTTGGGAGTGTCTGAAGAAGATCTAAGATGCAGATCTTACAATCAAAATGTAACATACGAAAGGTTCAAATCCTTTGCCTAGGTGATTTCTTCAGGTTCTCCTTACAGAGTTTATATCAAAATCAGGAAAATTCAAGAGTGTTACCAGAAAAACAGGTTAATATTCCCTGCATCATCCCTGACTGTTCAGAGTTAATGAACCATAAAAGAGACACACATATTTCTCAAGACATCCTTTAGTTTAGGACACAATCAATAATTTTGATACTAGCTGTGTGATTCCCCTTCCTCCTCACTGCTCCCTTTTCTGCTGGAGATTTCAGTCCTGGGAACACTTCTCTCAAAGTAGAATAAGGTAACCCTAGCTGTGCCTTCATGGACTATTGGAAGATATGAGCTTTTCTGGTGAAGCCAGCAAGGGACGAGGTATCAGCACAGATTAAAATTAAAGTTTCTTGTGCTCACCTCAAAGGCTGTCTCCAACTCACACCCTTTCTACTTGTCATTTATTGTCCATCCCCATATCACCCCCACCTCCTCCAATCTGCCAACAATCAAACCTCACCAAACTATTTGTTAGCTTTTCAGACAAACATCTGTATACTTTCATCCAATCTGCCCTTTTTGCTTGCAAACTCTCCAAGAAATGACCCATCAAGATCTCTGACACAGAGGAGCCACTCACAAGTTCAAGTTCCTAATGGCATGGCTAACACTAGTTCAGACAAATGCTGAAAACGAACAGAAATTCAAGAGCAGATTGGAGACAATATACTCTGTCCAGGTTACTCATAAATTCGAGCCAGGATGCAGTATACTGGAATGTATGAATCAGAAATGTTCTCAATATAATATATTGCAATGACAGTTCAGTAAATGGCAAGTTATCATCAAATTCATCACAGTATTTCAGGCTACAGGGAGAACAAGATTTTATTAAATGTCACCACTATTTATATGGTAAATCAACACCAGTGGTGAGATACCAATGAAAAATACCCTCAGTCAGTGTTTATAAGAATCACTACACCAAAATTAAAAAATCTGTTGCATCTGTCCCCTTCCAAAATTTCCTCTAGATTAGCTTTCTCATCTCCTTTATACCTTGGCTAACACCGATTTCCTGGAACTCAGAAGCAGCTCTGACTTGATCTCATCTATTCTCTGCCTGTCCTCTTCATTCAGATCTAGCAGAGAATCCTGAGGTTGGCTGGTCAGCTTCAGCTTCACCCATGCTGTGAACAGAAAACAACAGTCAATCCCTTCATGCTTGCTGCCATGTTAATTTTACAGACAGAAGTGTGCTATATCCTAAACAGGACTGGGTGGGAATAGACATTAATCAGAAATATCATACAAGATAGTATGACTAGGAATAGAACTACATTTAAATTAACTAATACGACCCCTTCTGATGACAGCTAGTGATAGCCTAGCTGAATGATGCACTGTAAAAGTGCAGGCAGTCTCTGAGCATTCCTTTGCAGGCTAATGTGATGCTGTACGTGGGCCCCATCTGTAATTTTCCCAAGTGGAGCAGCAATAGCTTTCTCTTCAATAATACATAGCAAGGAGAAGCCAACACACATTAGCCAAATGCCATGTTTCTTTTAATAAGGCTTCAGTGCATTACACAAAACCATTCTCAGTCCAGGAATCACCACTACAATACATTCATTAGGCCTCCCAAACTCACAGTCCATACCCAAGTGTCAGAATTGAGCTAAGTTTGTCTCCAGGTGCCTCGGAGACCAAGTGCCACCCAATTGAAGCCTGCCTGGCTTCCTCTCCCCTCTTTCAGACTCCAATCTATCCCTAAGGGATATTACCGTTTTTCCCACTTTAATAGACACCCATTACCTAATCCTCATATCACAACCAGCTCTAGATCCAGAGTCAAATAACATTTTCCTCCCAAATGTCTTTTAATCTGGGGCATAAAGAACACCTACACAAACAGAAAACAGGCTTGGTGAGGTAGCCTCCTGAAAAGATACACAAAATCAACGACCATGTTAAGAGTTCAGATCACAAATTATGTTAATCCATCCCAATAGGTCTAGTGGTAACAATTTGCTGCTGTCAATGAATTATTTTGGCACTAGATATTTGAGGTTAAGTATCTCAATGTCCAAGAGGAGAAAAAAGTCTCCTTTAACTTTGAATTGCATGAAAGTAATTTCAGTAGCAAATACATGACTATTTTCAACTGGCTTTGGAAGACTTTTTTCTTACTATGGCAGTTTTACCTTGCAAATCAGTGTTTTAATTACATGGAGTTTGGCATATAATTTTAAATCCATGCAGTACTATAGTTTATTGTAAGATGGGACAGAGTCCAAAGCTATTATCCTGTAAGACTGCAGGTCAACAACTCTGGACACAAGTCTGATCTAGAATGGCCTTTCTAGGGATGAAAAAGTAAGTCTTCATAGCCATTCAGTCTTTGATGCCTCTAACAAGACAGTCCACAATGATGCCAATTAGTGCAAATTTTTATAAGGACCCCTCCATCTCAGAGGTAAAGACTCAGTCACTATTACCAATGCCTAATTCAAAATGGTGACACCAAACCGAAAGGCTCCTTATATTCCATTACAAATCTGCTGTGCCCCAAAGAATATTTAAAGCAGCTTCTATTATATTCATCAACCCAGGATTCGGTACAGTATTCTCATGTCTTGCATAAAACCCGTTAGTCAGTTAGATAGGGGTTTACTTCTTACCACAAGCTTCTCTATCCTTTTCCTCTGTACTTTTTAGAATTTGTGTTGCTTGTAGCACCGGGGATTCATTTTTCAGAAGACTTTTGACACGGGCAGCTAGTGAATCTACACTGCTACTGTCATCACTCTCTCGAATGCCATCTTCCTCTTTGCTGCCAGCCACACTAGTTTTAGCCAAGGTATGCTGGAAATCCCCTAGGTCATTGGTGATGCTACCTAAGGGCTCTGTAAGATTCTGTAATTTTAAAATCTTTTCAATGCTTGATTCACTACTTGTATTACTCTTTGTAACAGTCATGAGAGGAGGCAGGTTTTTATTTATTGTTCCACTACTGCAACCCTCTGGTTCTGACCGTCCTATGGACTGTGCTACCCCACACACTTCCATAGCTCCCTGGTGTGTTGGTCCAGTCATTTCTTCCACACTTTTTTCCTTGGTTGGTAAATCAATAGCAAGACAGCTTTCCCAGTTTAAACTGCACCTGCAGGAATTCAGGGTCTTCAATAGTGAATTATCTTCTCGGATGCTTCTTCTGGCCAAGGACTCATCCCATGATAATATTCTCTGAAGTGCGGGACTGATGTCTTTCGCTAATCTAGACTCTTCAGACCCATCCTTTTCAATTGACACTGATGAAGAGTTGCTGACTTGTAAAGAGGCAATGGAAGGAGCAGGATCTAACTGAGTGACAGCTATATTTTCTGCCTCTGCTAAAAGCTTCTGGATCTCTTTCAATGTGTTGGATCCAATGAAGGAATCATTTCCTTGATCCCTATTTAAATTAACAGAGGCATCTACGTCTAAAGACACTGGTTCTCCACTGACATGCGTTTCATCTGCATTTCCAACCAAAGGACTGGAGGACAACTTCTCTAGACTGAGGTCAATATCCCTAGACTCAAATTTATCTATGAGCTTTTGAACATGTTTTGAAACAGGTGTGTGACCCCTTTCAAAGTCAGAGTCAACTGGAACTGCATGCATTATCTGGCTCAGTTCAACAGATTTTGAGACAGTTGAAGATTCTGAGCTGCCTTTGGGGAGGTGTGGGACAGGTAACTCTGAATGATGGTAGGCAACATTGCATTGACTCAGTGGTTTGTCTTTGGAAGATCTTGAGAACAGAGGTGAGAGATCAGTGGGTAATGGATTAAAAGGGCCAACATCTGAATCCCTTGGTATAGACATGCTGAGAGTGGAAGCATCAGAGTTAAAGCTTATCTGTGTAGTGTCAATTGCAGACGGAGAACTTCCTACAAAAAAAAAGAAGATTAATTAAGAGTTATAGGAAATATTAATTCCAGTGTAGAATATCAGCCTTGTTCCAAAGGCCTCCTGAAAAAAAGAGTAACAGTGATTATTCTAGAAAATATGCAAGAACATATATAAGAAAATATACAAGAATGTATCTTCTGTTAAAACTGTTTGTGATTACTATTTACTAAAAGAAACGCTTTAGATAATTCTGTACAAATCTCTAGAATTTATGTACATTGGAGAAACTGTTTCAAATAACTGGACATTTAGATTCATAATATTTCTAGTGCTGAGAAATTCTGATTCAGTGTATATCCTTTGCACAGCAATAAACAAGAATACTCATCAGATTTAACATCCTAAGGATATGTAAAGAAACACGAGATACTTTAAAAAAATAAAACAATATAAAAACAGAGAGCCTGATTGATATACGCATGGGAGAGAGCTGCATCCAGCCACCATGGCTCAGAAAGACAAAACAAGTCAATGCAGAGACTCCTGAGAAAATAAGCATTAGTGACTTTCAGGGAGTTGGTCTGAAGAGTATTAGCTGTAAAGAGATTGCAAGACTGCTTTCTTGAATTGGCTACAAGATATGGAGGCCTAATAGCTGGGAATGTTGCATAAAGACTCATACAATTCTCTACCCAGTTCTCTACTCAATGTATATTTCAACAAAGAATTCACTGTGAAGGCATGTTATGGAAGTTATCTTAGATCTAGTTAAATGTGCTTTCATTTGATCCAGTGGCTGAACATCTACTAAGCCACAGAAATCAAGTATTTATTAGTCTTAGACAGTTTGTGTGTTGACATGGACTCTCACAACTCCAATATTGGGGCTCTGAATTGATTAGATCATATTTTGATAACTGGGGAGAGGGATAGCTCAGTGGTTTGAACATTGGCCTGCTAACCCCAGGGTTGTGAGGTCAATCCTTGAGGGGGCATTTAGGGATCTGGGGCAAATCTGTCAAGGATGGTACTTGGTCCTGCTGTGAAGGCAGGGGATTGGACTTGATGACCTCTCAAGGTCTCTTCCAGCTCTAGGAGATAGTCATACTTTAAATGGAGATACACCCACCTCTACCTGTACCCCAGTCACATATTATACCAGAGAAATTAAAGAAGGGGAGAGAAAAAAAAGAGATACAAAGATATTTTCACCATGGGAAAAATGTAACATTTTTGTGAATAACTCGAACTTCAAAACTATTGGGGGCCGCAAGCCGGTAATCAGTATGGAAACACCCCTCACTAAAGAGAAATAATCAAGTATGCAAACTGTTCTGTTCTGTAAGATCCTTGCAGCATGCCTCTACCTTTCTCCATACCTTCAGATAGCTGAACATGCTTTGTTAAGGTGTCAGTGGATTCCTTCAAGGTTCTGAGCTCTGATGGGGAAAATTCAACCTCTCTGATTGGTCCTCTGGGTACAAATGGAGTCAGTATAGCTGAAGGTGACTGATCAATGCCAAGATTGCGAAGATACATCTTACGTAAAGGGGGGACATGGAACAAGGAAAGTAATAAATATACATGGTACCATTATAAAGAAACTCTGATTATAACCTACCCTCTCCCCCTCCCCCCGCAACCATCATCTCCAAACCACAATTTTTATTTTTAACATCCTCCTGCCCTTGAAAAGTTTGTTTCAACCTATTCTCCAGTGTACGTAACAACAACAAACCCAGACCACTGGTTTTATTACATATTGTGCCATCCCTCCACTTAGTCTGAATTTTAGACTCTACGTGTTTTGTCAGTCTATCAAGTGCTACCAGACCATTTGTTGTTTTTTTCTGTACAGACTAACTCAGCTACCTCCGGAAGCTTCTTTTATAGTATTTCTTTGAAATATCACTAATTGAAATCTGGAAGGAAAAAAAATGAGCCTTTGGCTTAAAACTCAACATACACTTCTCCTCTCCAAAAACATCTTAACACTTGAGCTGGGCACCAAGAAAAATTCCTTAACATTTAAGGCCAGTTATACTATGGGGCAGTCTCCAAAGCACAGTGACAGAATCCTCATTGCTGGAACTGTTTAAATATCTTATTGGACAAAGTAGTTGTGGATGCATTACATGGTACAAACCTGAACTGGCAAGGAAATGCTTTCTTTTATTTTAAACCTGCCACCTATTAAATTTTTTTGGTGACCCCTAGTACTTGTGTAATGAGCAGTAAACATTACTCCTTAGTTACTTTCTCCAGCAGTCATGACTGTATAGACCTCTGTCATATCCCCCACCTTCATTTGTCTCTTCTCCAGGTTGCGCTCCAGTTAGGACTAAATCAAGAATTGCCTCTCCCCTTGAGGGTTCCAAAACCAGCTGCTCCAAGAAGCAGCCATTTAAGGAAGCAACAAATTTTATCTCTGCATCCTATCCTGAGGTGATGTGTACCCAGTCAATATGGGGATAGTTGAAATCCCCCACTATTACCGAGCTTTTTATTCTGATAGCCCCCCCGAATCTCCCTTAGCATTCCATAGTCACTATCACGATCTTGGAACAGGTGGTCAAGAATATATCCCTATTGTTATATTCTTCTTATTAGAGCACAGAATTACTACACAGAGATTCTATGGAATATTTTGGTTCATTTAAGATTTTTACTTCATTTGAGTCTACATTTTCTTTCATGTACAGTGCCACTCCCCCACAAGCACAACCTGTTCTGTCATTCCGATATATTTTGTACCCTAGTAAATGGATATATTCCTTGAAATTTACTCTGGGAAAATTAGAGTCCAAGTTTGACTGCAAATACTACATTGTTATGATATACATTATTTTGCAAGAGGAAGAGCCACTTATTCTAAATAAAGTCCATCATTCATATACATCTGAATTTAATTTTTACTAGCACTCATCAGCTACCAACAAAGGCAAGTGTTAACATGGTTGCCGCCTATTCTGGCAGCCATCCTATTTCTAAGCCACTCTGAAAAGAGATGGAGGGGAGACTGGACTAGCAAAGTAAGATCCCATTGGTTTGTATGTAAGGAACTGTAGGCAGAATGGCTCCCTTTTCTTTAATGTGTGTTTATTAATCATCTGCTGTTTAAGACATTCACACTGGGGCAAACTTGAAAGAACATTTATAGAAGAAGCCATCTGCTCTGCCAGGAATGTTCTGTGTTGCTTTTGCTATTATTGAAGACGTGTGGGTGTGTGAAAAGTTCGCTCTCTTGAAGCTTAGCTCCTCCCCAAACTCAGTGGTGGAGTCAAAACTTGATGTTTTGAAATCAAAACCTGCTTACATGGAAGAGATTGGAAGGTCATAAATGACTTGCCAATGTGCTGCTAACAAAAAGGCTTGCACCTTGTCCTTGCTTTCAAGGCTGTGGATCACTCAACCCCAATCTACATCACTGATCTTGTCCTCTTTTTGCCTTCATTCTTATCTCCTACAATCAGCCACTGTCACTTGTCTTTATACACCCTTATATCCTTTTCCCACTGCTGCCTCAATGCGACCCTCTAAGCAAGGAACATCTTCCTTTAACCCACTATCCAGGAACTGCAACTGCCTCACTGAAATAAACCCTAAAAGTGTGCTACTTCCACATCACAATGAGTAACTAAAATACTGATTCAACATCGTGAGATAAATTCACTGCTGTCATGAACAGGCAGCATTTCAATAGTGCCATGATAATTTAAGTCAGTAGTAATGTTTACCCCGATTGCAGAAAGAGCGTAATAAAACAGTGTAGGACAAAGTGGATTTAGAGGATTTTAACATTATATACTTTAAAGGACTTCTTCACTGAGGATAACTTTAAACTTCCTCTGTTCAGTTACCTTATTTAGAATCTTTCATTATATTAGCTAACATCTAAGCTGAAGAAGTCTGTAGCTGTGGCACCCAATAGTCTTACTACACGTCAGATATTAAAGGCTTCTGTTAGCTACACTGATCTCTCCATACAATGGGCCATTCATTGTGATGTTCCAAGCGCCTTCAACTCCTACTGCTTTTAACCCAAATTGAGGCTGCTTTATCAGCAAACCTAAAGAGAAATGGCAAAATTACTAGCAATATCTTACCGGTATTCTTTCTTCAATATTTATCTCTTTTTTATCTGGAGTTTTCAAAGTAGGTGTCCAGAAAGGAATGACATTATCCCCTTCTAAACCGGTGAAAAAATCCCTGGCAACTTCTGAAGAGGAGCTTGCAGAAGACAAATCAATATGGCTACTTGCCTGTGAATTAGACAGGAGGTTTAAGCTATCTGGAGAAATGTCATTTATGTCAATGTCCATGATTTGACTAGTAGAGAGTTCTGGGTCATCTGACTGTCTGGTATTATTTTCAAGACCATTGTATTTCTCTTGCCCACCACTTGGATGGTGTTCCTCCTCTCTGAGAAGTTGAGCAACCCTTTCACTGGAAATGAAGGCATTTTGATCTGAATTTTGTCCTATGCTATATTTGTCATCATCATCATCACCACCACCACTGGACCCCGAAGGGACAAGGACAGTTGTAAACTGTTGGGTCATGGCGTCTCCTAAATGCGCATCACTTTTTCTAATTTCAGGCATTTCAGAAACTCTGCTTTTGTCTTCTGTAGGCCGAACAACTTCATCTGGCTTTGATGCCTGAACAACTTCAATCTGTGAAGCCTCCCTGCTGATTATATTTACTGAGTTGTCAGACTGAGACCGGGTAAGTGGCGAAGTATGTGCTGACACTTTATCATGGGAATGCAAACTGGTCATCGAGCCTATGTCTCCAAAGGATGTAGCTAGACCACTCTTGAGTTTACTAATGCTACTGCTCTGTCTTGCTAAAATACGGTTTAAGGAATCAGCAATTGCACTATAGGCTTTCTGCCTTGGAGAAACTCCACTCACGCCACGTAAAATCAAAGCATCAGGTATCTTGTCCATTGGCTGCTTCACATTCCAAGCTCCTACCTTTTCCATGAAACTAAGGGTAGGAAGAGACTGGATTCTTTCAGTACGAGGGTGAGTCATTCTCAAGGACTCACTAGTTTCACTGTTTATTTCCCGTTCACTCTGGGATTCATGATGCTTCTCAGCAGAAGAAATTAGTGTACTTGTCGATGAGTCCCTAGAAGTTTCTTCATTTAAACAAGTAAGAGAGGCCTGAAGGTTTGATTTGATAAGAAGGGGCTTACTGGGTACTTCTTGCTTTACATTTCTGCTTACAAATATGCCTGGAGTGGACTGATAGATTGGTTGAGCTAAATGTCCAAAGAAAGAACCATCATCTACAGGAAGATTAAATGAAGGTGAAATGCCTGTATTTTTGTGTCCCCTCTCTATGCTGAAGTCTGAAAGAGTTAATTCACTTCTGTTAACGTCAGGCCGGATTTCCGCAGCAGTATTTTTCTCGATGCATGTTCCACCATATTCTACATTAGCAGTGACAGGCTGGTGAGATGCACTGTTCTTGATACTAGCTGCAGACTTAGCAGAGACAGTCTCCTCTTTCAGTTTCCCAGACATTTTAGAAAACAGTTGTTTATGCTGCATATCTAGAATGGCTCCCTGGGGCTCAATATTAACACCAGAAAACTCCAGTCTGCTGGAGTCTTTCAAATCTGAATGATGTCCCTTGGAAAACATGAACATTTCTGAAGGCTTTGCAGAACACACATCTGGGGCACTGGCATTTTTAAAGGGTTCTCTCCTTGAAACATCAGAAAACCTCTTGGAAGAGCCAAGCTCAGGAACGCACTCTTCTTCTAGCTTCTGATGTGATTTTCTTATAATCACTTCTGACTCCCTATCAGAAAGCTCAACATTTCCTATTTGCTGCATTGTTTCCTTTTCCCTTTGGTCCCTTGTTGATATGCTCTTGCATGAAGAGCTCTCTGAAGATGGGAACCCACCGTGGCTTGACACCCCCACTTCTTTCTCCTGAAGCTCCAGGAGAAGAGGAGCTGGCATATTGCTGTCTAAAAAGAAGGGATCGTTATTTACAAAACCACTAGGGGCCTCCCTAGCAACAGATACTTCTGGATGCTGTAGAGTTTCTGGCTTGTTTATAAGAATATCTCTATTTGGGTCTGTTACATTTTCATCTGTATTAGGGATTAAAGATTTGTTGCTAATATCAAGTTTACAATTTTGATCTTCAACCTTCTCCTGCCTCTCCACAGTTATCTGTCCAGAAAGAGAAATAGGGCGCTGAGACAAATAGCTGGTACAGTCAACATCACAAGGTTCTATAGTGCTGATTGCAACTGGATGCTGGGACAGGGTGAAGCAGCTAGTAACTAAGTCCGAAGATACTTCAGTGGCTGCTGACTGCACAGCTTCACTGATCTGCAAAGGCTTTGGATACTGCTCAGAAGCATCAGAAACATCAGGGATTCCTCTGGAAGAGAAAAGACAAGTAAATGTTTCTTTGGTTACATTTTCAACACCCACATTTAAAAGAAGTGAAGCTTAAAGATAGGATAGCTACATGAGAGCAAACAACCAGTGTTCAGCATAAGGGTGAGCAATAATTTTGGAATGGGGCCATTTCAAAAATGTTCAGAGTGGGCACAGGCTGCCCCAGAAGGGGCAGGGCCTCAGGCAGAAGGGGTGGGATCTCATGTGCCTCCCAAGCAGCTCCCAGGCAACATGCTAGCCACAGGGCCGGGAGCTGCAAGCCCTTTCAACTGCTTCTATTTAAAGGGCTCACACTTTCCCCATGTGCCCTTTAAACAGAAGCAGTTGAAAGGGCTCTCAGCTACCGGCCCCACCGCTAGCACGTAGCCTGGGAGCCACCAGCCCTTTCACTTGTTTCTATGTAAAAACCACGTCCCTTCCACCTTTGAAAATTTTTGAAGTGCTGCCCCCCTTCAAAAATTAGGGCCCACCCCTGCGAATGAGTTGCTTAGCAGCCATGCGGAAGATGCAAGCTCTCTAAACAGAAGCTCATGTCTCCCAGTCAACATACTAGTGGCAGGTTTGGGGAGCCGGGAACCCTTTCAACTGCTTCTACTTAAAGGGCCACCATCCTGGTGGCTGCTACCATGTTGCCTGGCAGACATGGGGAAACGCGAGCCCTTTAAATAGAAGCAGATGAAAGGGCTCACGTGTCCCTGGCTCCTAGACAGTGTGTTAGGGGGCAAGGCCAGGAACTGCCACCCGGGCTGGATAAAAGAGCTAGGCAGGTTGGATCCAGTCCACTGACAGGCTCTTGCTCAGTCCTGGTTTAGCAACACATTCATCTTAAGCCAAATAAAATCAAGAAAATATTTTAAACCTCAAAGACAGGGCAATTTACATTAAAAATGATTTTAGATACCTATAAATAATGGTTTGGAAATATAAATACTATGGCTCTAATGAGCATGTCAATGTGTTCCACCAATTAGGACCTTCTAATTCACTTTGTATTAATAGACTCTCATTCAAAAATAACTGTATTTATTTTTTAAATTATCCAATTTAGGACTTCAAATACTTTTAACAAGAATATAAAATAGGTCAAGCCTGAAATGAACAGCAGGGATTGTAGCAGTGAAAGGTTTCTGCAGATTTCTTACATTTTTATCTGCACCCTGAATTATTAGCAGTATGGCTAGTCAAAAAACGTTACGTTTCAAAATCTTTTGTTCCATATCAGAACAAGACTTTTATACACTTTCATTTTTAAAAAATTAAGACACCTTCATTCCAGAATAGCCAGTAATCTGGTGGCCAGGACACTCCCCTGGGATATGGGGGGGACAGGCTCAAATTCTTGCATGGAACTTAGGTAAAACAGACTTCAAACTGGACACCCTACATTCCACTTTTATTTGAGACTTGAATCTGGATCGCCCACAATGCAGGTGAGTGTCCTAGTCATTAGATTATATTCTAAGGTCTCCACATGCACTTGAAACCCAATCCTGGACCCAAGAAATAGTCCCAATGAAGTATTGACCCTGGAGCTGGGATGACAGACAGCTCTCCCATGGGGGGGGCTTGTTCCTGTCTGATACCCAGCCCCACTGTAAATACTGTGGATTGATCACTTTTTATATGAGTAGAGCTGGTTGTGAATGTTTCAATAAGACATTTTTTAGAGAGAAGTGCCCCGTGCCATTCAACTATGATTTCTCTCAGATTCTGTAAGGAGACACAGAATGACTCAGAAGGGTTTTGGTCAGTTATCCTCAAAACATGGCTTAAAATGAAGGGGAAATGGAAAGACCAACAAACTGACAGGCTCTTCTCACAAACTCAAGGCTATTTAATCAGATTTTATCCAATTTCTGTCCACTATCTGTGCTGATTTTAATTTATTATGCAATTAATACAAATGAACTTCAGTAGATTCTACTTAATATCTTCCTGGATAACAACAACTTCTGGTAAAAAATCAGCATTTTTCTAGGAGCCAGTTCTGTCCCAGTGACTTTAATGTTAATGGCATTCACATATTGGCAATAACATGCTGTTTATTAAGAACACTTTGTGGAATAAAGGCCACAACTACAGGCAGATTTGCAAGGGTGCTCCCAGTAAAGGAAGTGCTGGGATGTGCCTTTCTCCCCTACAGTCTTGCAAACTTGCCAGTAGCCAGTGCCCAGAGGCACGTCTGGTGCAGCAGTGCTGCCTGGCACAAAACCACACAGGAGGCTGTGAGCTGCAAGTAGCAGCTGTGGGAGAGGTAATGGTGGGAGTAGAGCTGCAGCCCATGTTCCAGCACAGCTCCTCTCCCTGCCCACTGCAGGTTGTGCCCTGCTGGTGGTTTGTACACAAGAAAGCAAGCATTGGAACATCTGATCCCCCAGTCACTGAAGAATTCAGGGTGGATGCCAGGTAGCCCTGTGGTAGAGGTACCAGTCAGTACCAGACAAGTGGGGAACTCCTACTCCCCTGTGAGCGGCATAGAGGACGTATGCTTGAAGGCAGAACTCTTACCTGCACAGCATCAGTGTAGAAATTAAGGATGTAAGAAGTTGTTTAAAAATGTAACCATGTAACTGCTAAAAATCCTAGAGGTTAAATCCTACGTGCACTGCAGAGCCCGCAGCAAAGCCACTCCAAGAGTGGGGCGGCAGCCCCTGCCTGCCATGCTCCCAGGGAGCCAGCACGTAGCCTGTGGGGCAGGGACAGGGCCCACCACAGACAGAGATAAATGAACCTGTAAAACAGGAATCCCACTGCAACTAAATGTTGTACTTAAGAGCCTTCTGGAAAAAAACTAACCTTTAAACAGAAGTGAAAGCAGTGCTCGCAACTCCCATGATGTTGTTATGAGCAGGGTGGATTTTAAAAAGATTTTTTTTTTACATCATTCATCAATAAAATACTAAATTTCTCATTTTAAAAAAATGGCTATAATTAAGTATTATCACAAACATGTTATTCCTACATTTACAGTCTCATAAAAATAAGTTAATGGCTCTAGTCTGTCCAGCTAAACAACCAGCTTTTGCTCCCTGAAAGGTATGGGCTTTCAGTTTCTGTTAGGCTGATGAGAAATGTGCAAAGACAGACACAGACTGGATAGGATTGTTCTTGTGCTGTGCTTATGTGGTGGTGAACCTGGTAGAGTTAGTTAAGACATTGTCTAAAGACAGAGGGATAATGCATAGGAAAAGATGAAGGCAGCATAGAAAGGAATATTGGAGTGGACTGGAAAAGAAAAGGGAAGCCATTATTCAGCACACACATAACTTCCTATATTCCTCTACACTTTTGCCACAGAAAAACTGTCATGGCTGCTGGGTGTAAGACAGACCCTCTTTGGGAATATTGTGAATATATTTCTTCGTTGGATAAAAAAGGGAAGTGTGTCAGGTATAAGCAGAGCAAGATGATGATGCAGGGCCTAGCTGCAAGAATGAAACATCGCAAGGAAAATTACTTATTGTGAGAAAATTATGTGGATGAAGACATGGATATGTCTGAAGAACAGTGTGGATCAACTCTGAAATGCTCTCTATGCCTTTTAGTATACGTGTGATTTAACAAGTAAATTCCCAAGCTGTTCGCTATGGTGGATGTTACTTTAAAAAAAGAAAGTGTAGGTTAGCTAATATTTATGGCTTGTTTAATTAGTTAACTAGATTTAGAATCTATCACCCAAATATACAGTACACAAAGCTGCAGCAAGAGAAATCTAGAGTTGCCAGTTGCCACGAAGTGTCATTTTCTTATGTTATAGTACATAATACATGCCTCTTATTTTGGAACACCCTTGTCACAGATGATAATAGGATAATAGTGATGCCACAAGTCTATTCCCTATTTTACTTCAGCATAACTCCGCTTTCCCAAAGGAACCCCCATCCTATACTTATTTTCAATGCGGCTTACTCCAAAATTAAGTACACTCTAAATCAGTGGTTCCAAAATGTTTTGGCATTACGTTCCCTTTTTGATTTTTGAGAAACCCTCATTCCCCTCCCCACCCCAGCCCCCAAAAAATTGCAGGGGACCAGTATTAAAAAAAAAAAAAAAAAAAAAAAAAAAAAAAAAAGAAGACGGTCCTCCAGGGTAAAAGTTGGTGACCCCCCCCCAAAAGTTGCCCTTTTAAGGTGGCCATTTTGAAGTCTGCCCAACACGCTCCATCCTCCCCCCACCCCAGCTAGTCCGAGATGCACGTGTTCTGGCGGAGTCCCGAGCCAGGAAAAACAGAAAATACCGGACATTTCACATGGTATTTTCTGAATTTTTTTAGTAGAAGGACCGGGCTCTTTCTTGGGGGAGGAAGTTAACGGGGGGGGGAGAGGAAGGGGAGAGGAGGCACTGAGTCGCCTTGTGCTCCCCCCCGGAATTTCTTCACACACACCCAGTTTGGGAACCTATGCTCTAAATAGTCAGTCTTAGCTTTTTTGGTATCTTGGTATCAAGCTGCATCAAAAAGCCAGTGGGAATGGGGAAGATGAGAGCTAATTGTAGAAGTTTTAAGGATGCTGTACATTTGGTGTTCTAAGGATGTGTCTGTTAGAGTTAATAAAATTTTTAAAAAATTGAGAGAGAGCAAGCTTAAGGACAGTCATCAGCCAGCAACTCAGGAGACTATTTCAATTACAATTGTGAAACATTTTTGTTATATTTAAGATTTAGTTTAATAAAATGTAAGTGCTATTGTGTTTGTGTGCATGATTTAGTTCTTACCATTCCTAATGTACTGCTGTTGCATCTGCAGCTTGATAAAAGTAATGAGTATTATGTACTATTTCCTAAATTAATAAATATCGAGTTATCTAAAAAAAATTACACAATGCATACTGTCTTAGACGATATGAAAGGGTGTAATGAGCTGTAAATTAACATGTTTTAGTGATCAGATCTGCACTATTTGTTGAATAAATATGTGAAGAAATATCAGTGGGAAACCTGATTTAAATCAATGTAGTTTTTTGGTGATTTAAATTGTGATTTAATTCAATTATTTAAATTGTACTGATTTAAATCAACCCTCCCTGGTTACAAGTCTTATGATTATTATTTTCATTGAACCCCCAGCTTTTGGAATCAAGCGGATGTGTGATGATTTCAGCCATCACTCAAAGAAAAAATGACGTTTCTAACCCCTTGTGGTTGTGGAGAAATCTTCAAAAGGTGACCTCCAGTGCAACCAAAAGGATAGGAAAAAAACCCAGAGGGCAAATAAAAATAACACCAAATCTATTATTTTTACATAAATTCATTATTTTTGATGAGCCTGATTCATGATTTTTTAACATTTGGGGTTGGCAATAGTATGAAGGTGTCAGTTTCATCTCTGTTTATAGTCAGCTTCTAATCATTATTTGCAGTGGGTGAACACCCCTAAATCCCAGGGCAGGTGCAGTTTAGACTCATGTGGCCTTGCCCTAGAAGGATGTTTGCAAAAGGGAAATGATCTGTTGCAAGCTTGGTGAACTGCAAAAAAGTGATAGAAATTAATCGATATTTCAATTGTTGTATTCAAGAGTTATTATAAAGTAAGAGTATACATTAAAACTTTAAACCGAACCAATGTCTCCTGAGTAAGTTGACACAAGGTATTAGAATCTAATAATTAATTTTCTTTCGTTATAGGAATTAGAGTTCTGTCGGATAATAATTTTTAAGTTATTACCTGCACACAAAAAACACAAAAAAACCCCACAGTTTTCAGGTGCCTAAGTAGCCCGGAATCATGGTTAAAGTTACACCCACCCCCAAAAAATATGAAATGGTGCCCATGTTCCATGGGGCCCCTAGCTTCCTGTAGAAAGCCCTTACATCTGGGCTGCAGCCTTTTATCCTGCTACTGCCTAGCTAGTAGGCAGGATGGCACAGCTTAGCACTTCCTTTCCTAGATGCAATCTCACAAACCTGCTGTCCACAGAGGGATTACTAATAAGCATATTCTATTGTACCTGAAAATTCACTGAATCACAGGACATACAATGTAGAGAATTCAAACAACACACAGTAACTTCATCCCACCTTAGAGGAGCAAAATCCAGCTCAGTTTGCTGAAATAAGGTATCGTCCAAAATCTTCTGATCTCGTGCCGAATAAGTCATCGATAGTGGGAGACAGGGAGAAAAGCGACTGTCCTGAATTTCTGTTAAGATTTAAAAAAAAATCATGGTGATGTGATGATAATGCAATAGTCAGGGCTTGCTAAGCAACCCCTTATTAATTCAATTGCCCGGCCATCTGGAATAGCTTGCAAAGCCAAAAAATGCCAATTATGGTAAAAAAAAATTACATAATCCAGCAATGCTAGTGACTGAAGTAGATGAATAAAAAATAATTCACATTTCCATTAAGCTGATATAGAAGGCTACCTTATGATTCCTTATACAGATATCCAATTATATTGATGATGGAATTTCAGATATCAGATGTTTACAATTTTAGAAAATAGAGCCAGAAAAACACTAATAAATCAATCACCTACCCACCCAAACTGCCAGCTTACTGATGCAACTTCAACATCCTAGGCATTTATCTGGATTGGATCTTTGACAAGCCCCATCAACTGCCAGTGAAACAGCTTAGCACCTATGAAGGGCTGATGCCCTGCTTTACTACAAAACACAGAACAGTCAAGATCCCACTAATTTGCAGAAAAAATTTACCCATGCCTGTTTTACAATCTAAATTACAAGAGAATACCAAAAGTTTGACAAATATTTAAACTTATATTGATAGTCTTCAGTTTGAATGATTTCAAAACGCTGCACAAATTGTTCATCAAAGGATCAAAACCCTCACCCAAAACTAATATGCACCCACTTCTTGGGAAATTCTGGCTTGACAGAACAGATCACCACCACAATACATTTTTGGAAGGTGTCATAACTATGAGGGCTGGCCAGCAGCCTGGGGACTAAGAGGTTAACTATGTCACCTAAACCTAGCCAGGTATCTGGTCAAACAATAACAATGCAGGTAGGGATTTCAAACTGGGACATAGGAATTTTAAACTTTTCCCTCCTTTGTCTGGGTCATAGCGGTTTCTTCCATGTAACAGGGAGATAGGAAGGCCTGTCTCTCTCCCAAGAATGGACTTTTTAAACGTGTAAGAAAGGCAAAGTCTAGATAACCCGTCAGGTTTTATTGTTTTCTGGTTTGGGAATGTGGAATTGATGTCTGAGCTGTTCAAAGTGTATTTTTTTCTTTTCCCTTTAAAAGTGTTTTCCTTTTGTACTTAAAGTCCTGAGCCAAGAGATTCCCGAGTTTTTCCTTCACAAAAAAACCCTCCAAAAACAGGCACTAACTAGTTATAAAAGACTTTGAAGTTTGAGTTTGTGAAAAGATATGGACATTTTTTACACAAGAGGAACCATTTAGTTTGTGAAAAGATACGGACATTTTTTACACAAGAGGAACCATTTTGACAATGTTGACAGTTTGGGATGAGCCAGTTTTGTTTTAGAAAAGAGTCCTTTCCTGCTCCCTAAAAGTAAAAAAAACTTGTAACAATTTCACACAGCTCAGTGTTACACTCAGACATCTGGGTGCACCTTCAGCTCCCCTTAGTGCTACCGGGGAGTATAGTATGTGTGCTCCACACCTTTCAGCAGCAAGTTAACTGCAGTGTAGATCTACCCTCAGTGCACTAACTCAGCTAAAGGTTTTGTCCGTCCGTCCGTGAGCTGTAATGGACATCTCCAGCTGCAGTGTAGAGTGCCCTTGGGGTCTGTCTTGAGCCTGTGACGGAGCCAAGAATTAAGCCTGTGTATCCGAAAGTAAGAAAGAAAAAGATTCTTTTAAACAGAATTTTTTTGGAGTGTTGCAGATATCTAAAACTCTGATCTTAATGATTTTTTTTTAATCCTGTGTTACTAAAACTGTAAGATCTGCATCTTTATTTATTAATGAAGCTGCTGTAAGTAAGACTATTATTGACTTTAAAAAGTACTGATGGCATGCAGACCCATAAATAGAAGCAAATAAGTTACATCTCGACTTGCCACTTCTGAAAGGTTGCTGATTCCTGATCTATAGCATAATCCTTTGTAAAGGTGTGTGCAGAAGCTCATGTTGCTGCTCTGCAAATGTCCCTGACGGGTACATTATGTAGGAAGGCCATAGAGGTGGCCATTGCTCTAGTGGAGTGTGCCCGCTATTGGGTCAGTAGAGGCACCTTATTGATAACTAGCTGGAGTTACCCGTTTCCTGAGCAACACCGGAGGAAGAAAATGTAGAAAAACAGTAGTCCATTATCTTTTTTGGAACGGTAGAAAAGTTGAACTGATTTCTACAGGGATTAAAATATAGGTCCGCATCATCCCCAGAAGGGGGGTGGGTGCGACTCCAGGTGGAGAGGAGGTTACACGTGGGAGGGGCACCCCAGCTCGCGCCCGGGGCTCGCGGGTGCCCAGGCTGTTGCAGGTGCTCGCGGGTGCCCAAGCTGTTGCGTGTGTGCTGGCGCGGGGGGGAAAAAGGGTTGCTTATGTAACCTCGCCAGTGGGAGGGGTGAGTCCCAGACGGCGCTGAGGGCCACAGGCGGTGGGCACGGGACCTAGGGTGGGCAGAGAGGCCCCTGCAGCGCAGCACGGAAGGTTACTTTTTTATTTTTGCAGCTTGAGCTCGGGCCCGATCGGGTCCAAGAGTACCTTAAAACCTTCTCCTGGATGAAAGGTTATCCCATGGAAAGTTTGGTTGTGGTAGCCCTTCTAGTGTCCAAGTTATTAGCCCACAAACTTACAAACATTCTCCTTTATATATTAGATACAGCAATTTGTAATACAATTTGTTATCCACTTTGAAAGTCTCTGTTCTGAGATCGCGTGTCCTTTGAAGCGATTTGCTACGGAAATGAATAGTCTGGAAGAATGTCTCAACTGTTTTGTTCTGTCTAGGTAAAAAGCAATTGTCTGGCGAACATCCAAGGAGTGGAGTTGTGCCACACTGGTGTCCAGATGAGGCTTTTGGTGAAAAACAGGTAAGTATATAGGTTCGTTAAGGTGGAAGTGCGAGACTATTTTTTTAGGAGAAATTTTAGATGAAGCCTTAACACTACATTGTCTTTGTAGAAGATTGTGAATGGCAGATCCTCATTGAGTGCTATCAGTTCACTGACCCTCCTTGTTGTCATGATTTCTAGTTTAAAAAAAAAAAAAAAAAAAAAGGAAAGGTGGTGCAGGGAGCATATTGCCATTGGCTCAAACAGAGGGTGGGTCAAGGTGTTGAGGATGAGGCTGAGATCCCACAGTCGAACTGTCAGTTTTATCAGGGGAAAGATATTAGTGAGACCGTCTAAACATTTCTTTGTGGTCAGATGTGAGAGTACAGAGTGACCATCTACGCCATCATGCTCACTCGAAATAGCCACTAAGAATCTTTATTGATGAATTGGAGACGTTCTCTTTCCTTTAATGAGAGGAGACAGTGAAAAATGATCATCAGATATGTTGAACAAAGTTGCAGTATTCTGTGGTTTGCCCACTCAGAGAAATGGCCATTGTTGTAGGTAAGTCCTTCTTGTACTCTGTATGCGACAGTTCAGGATTAAACTGAGAACTTCCTCTCAACAGATCTGGTCTTGCCAGAGGAACCATGCCTTGAGGTGGAGCTTGAGTATGTTGGGATGAAGAACTCGGTCTTGGTCCTGAGATAGAATGTCCGGCCATGGTGGAAAAGGAATCAGAGGAGTCAGGTCTGTCCGGGCCAAGAGGGAGTTATGATGACCCTGGCCCCGTCCTTTTTTATCTTTTGTATGATTTTGCCAGTAAGGAGAAGAGGTGGTGACCCTGGCCCCGTCCTGTTTTATCTTTTGTATGATTTTGCCAGTAAGGAGAAGAGGTGGAAAGGCATATAGAAGGTTGTGGGACCAGATGATCATCATGGCATCCCCCATGGAGCCCTTGCCCAGCCCCAACCTAAAACATTATTTGGGGCATTTGGCATTGTGTAATGTGGCAAATAAGTCTTCTAAAACATTATTTGGGGCATTGTGTAATGTGGCAAATAAGTCTATTTATGCAAAGCCCCACCTGAGGAATACGGTATATAGGGCTCAGGAGCATCTCTCCCATTCGTACTCATGATGAAATATGCGGCTCAAATGGTCTGTGGTGACATTTTGCTTGCCTGGAAGGCATACTGCCGATATGGTGATCTGGTGGTGGATGCACCACTGCCACAGTTCTATCGCCTCTTTGCAGAGAAGGCATGACCTGGCTCTGCCTTGGTGATTTATGTAAAACATGCAGGCAGTGTTGTCTGAGTAGCCTCATGGACTTGCCCTGGATTCGGGGGAGAAAGTATTTGCATGCTCTTCTTACGGCACAGAGTTCCAGAACGTTGATGTGCAGGCTTGACACCGAAGGAGTCCACCTCCCCGGGCTGCTGGCATGCATACTCCAGCCCTCCAACAAGGCATCCAGATCAGCTGCTAGAAGTGGGCCTCATCCTCCCTGATTGAATTTACCTCGTTATCCCTAGCCTGATTCTTGCCTGCATATTTATACCTGCCTCTGGAAATTTGCACTACATGCATCTGACGAAGCCAACGAAAGCTTATGCTCCAATACATATGTTAGTCTATAAGGTGCTACAGGACTCCTTGTCGTTTTTGGCCAGAGCCTCCCTCAAGTGCAGATGGCCCTTGGTCAGAAGCCACTGCTGGGGTACGTCTAAACTACATGCCTCCATCGACAGAGGCATGTAGATTAGTTTATTCGAAAAAGGGAAACGAAGCGGCGATTTAAATAATCGCCGCTTCATTTAAATTTAAATGGCTGGCGCGCTGAGCCGACAAACAGCTGATCGGCAGAGCGGGGCAGCCATTTAAATTTAAATGAAGCGGCGATTATTTAAATCGCCGCTTCGTTTCCCTTTTTCGAATAAACTAATCTACATGCCTCCGTCGACAGAGGCATGTAGTCTGGACACACCCCTGGGGTTGGAGAGGTCTGCAATGCCGATTCCAAAGCTGGCCTCTCAACTTTCTCCATAGCAAGGAGCTTTTACTGTCACTCCCGTCCTTTCAAGAATCTCAATGAGAGCTTCTTGCAAATGGTGGCAAGTCTTTGGTGAGTGGCCTGGCCCAGGCAGCGAATACACCGGGCATGCCCATCGGAGATAGACTGTTTGAAACCTGGTGAGCCT